TTGCTTCACTATTGTGAAAGATCCATCCACAAACAGTTGAATAAAATATGAATATGAAATAAGTTATTGATTAATCTTCATGCTTAAGTAATGCTAAAATAAAATCTTCATGTTCATGCTAAGAATAGATTGACTAACTTAAAGTCAGGCAATTAGCTTATTTCATATTCTAGCTTGTCATCATTTTGACAAATGTTTTCATTTGTTACACTTCTGACAAGACCAGATCAGAGATTTGAATATTAATATACTCAGAGATCCTAAACAAATGGGATCACCAATCACCATTATGGTGACTTCAAAACAATTACAGTAGTAAACAACAAAATTTCTCACAGTGGCACAGTTAAAGACAACTTTATAATGTGAATTTACAGTAAAACAAGAGCAGTATATTACTGTGATTTAGCATCATTCTGCTGTTCATTCACAGTCATTTGTAAGAAAATTACCCAGCATGCATTGATTTCAAAGCAAATTTTTGACTACAATAATTTATTGTAAACGAATACCCTTTAATCCTGTAAATTCCTGGCATTTTATTTTACAGTGTACTATAATAATTTAAAACAGGTTATGTGGGTGGATATTCGCATTGGTCTGAACAAAAAATGCAGACAGGATTATTGAAAATGCAAAATCATTCTCTGCCAGTAGGAGGTGCTTTTGGAACGTCAGAAATATAACGGTTTCCCCGGTAACGGTTGTAAACAAAGCAGCTGCACTCATAAACTCTACTTTATCAGATAAAATGAAAAAGCCATAGAAACTTTTCTGTAGACAGTCGGTTGCTGGCGGTTAAAGAGCTTGCATTCGACGATAAATTTAGATTTCAAGTTCAATACTGATTTTAGAAATATTGAAATTATTTACAGTGTGTAACGCAAATTTATAATTAAATTAATTAAATTACCTAAAAATTAACAGTAATCCCTTACTTTACTTTTACAGTGGATAAGTAATTTAATTACAGTAATTACAGTTATTAAGTAACATGTTACACCCAACAATGCACAAGAAGCACATTCAACTCAATTGAACGGTTGTCCTGGTAATAAATACCGTAAACAGCAACCGTTCGCGTGTCAGCTCTTAAGGCCTGTTCACACCCAGAACAATAACTATAAAGATAACTATATTAGTGTCCACACCAGCGGATGATATCGTCTGCTTATTCCAAGCGCACTCTCGTCTGCTGCTTAAAATTCTCGAGCTTGTTATAGCAGGATTGATTATGATTGGCTGTCAATGTTTTTATCGTTCATCAGCTGGAAAAAATCATTCTGAAAGTGATTCCAACGATATCGTTACTTTGTGCCTTTATCGTTATAGCTGTGGTGTGGACTCTGCTATTCTTTAATATTGAGAATGATTTTTAGAACTATATCTTTATCGTTATCTTTATAGTTATCATCCTTGGTGTGAACAGGCCTTTAATGCGCATCTCCTATATGAAAAGCATTTTAGGGGGCCTTGGCTTTTGGGGGCCCAAGGTGGTTGCCTACCTTTGTCTAATGGGTAAATTCACCCCTGCCTACGGCTGATTCACAGCCATGCTGATACAGAGCAATATCGCATGGCTACGAGTGTGATATTGCATTTAAATAACAGTTCGACAGCACAAGTGTATAAATAAATAAGAAACAACCAAGGAGTGTCTTAAAAAACATTTTGTATGCAGAATTACTTCTTTCCATCACAGACTCAAATCTCAGTTTGACAGTTTAACATCTGAGCCCAAGCCTCCGTCTCTAATTCGAAAACGTCACTTTAGAACTAGTAATGAAGGAACGTTGAGTTGCTTCACTGAAAGAATATTACATTACTGTATTAAAAGCTCACTGTATTCTGTAACAGTGTAACAGTCCAACAGTGTAACAGTCCAACTTCCTTCAGTTAAATGAGTCTAAGACTGAGGTCTTAATTTTTGGCTCCCCTGCTTCTACAGAGGTTTTGACCAGTAAACTGGGACCTCTATCTGGTAATCTTCATTCACATGTCAGAAACTTAGGCATTACTTTTGACTCTGCTCTGACTTTCGATAAACAGATCAATGCTGTGGTTAGAAGTTGTTTTTATCAGCTAAAGAATATTGCAAAGATGAAGTCATTTTTAACAATAAATGACTTGGAGTGTGTAATACATGCTTTTATCTCATCCAGATTAGATTATTGTAATGTATTGTACTTGGGTGTTTCACAGTCTCTATTGTCTCGTCTTCAACTTGTTCAAAATGCTGCCGCTCGATTGTTAACTGGAACAAGGAAGAGGGAACATATCTCACCAGTGTTGATCTCTCTCCACTGGCTCCCAGTTAAATATCGTATCCATTTTAAAACATTATTGTTTGTCTATAAGGGTTTCCATGGACTGGCTCCATTGTATATCTCTGATCTCCTTCTGTTCCATTGTAACGCCTCCAGGGAACTTCGATCAACTAGTAGTCTTCAGTTGACTGTTCCAAGGTCACACTTGAAATCGAAAGGAGATTGTGCCTTTTCAGTGGCTGGTCCACAGTTATGGAACAAGTTACCACCCTATATAAGAACTGCACCAACATATGCTGATTTTAAGTCTCTTCTTAAAACGTATTTATTTACTGTTGCTTATGGTCATAAATAAGCGCAGTGGCATAACTTTAGTGTACTATTTGTCGCTGTGTTCTATGTTTACTTTAGTATTTTGTTATATGCTTACTCTTGTACAGCACTTTGGCCAACAGTTGTTGTTTTTAAACGTGCTCTATAAATAAATATGACTGACTGACTGACTGTAGAGTATTATTAGAGAGAGATGGACTGAGTGAGTGTGATTACCTGCATCTGATACAGCATTCATTCTTCAGCTCAGTCTCACATTCACAATAAAACATTAGTCTGAATGTCCGCTGAGGAAAGCCATATCTTTGTCGTACTGTCCTTTCATCTGTTAAGGGTGATTTCTGATGATAGCGCTTCTCAATGTGTTTGTTGGCTGCATCTTGAAAGGTGTTATTGAAAGTAAAAATAATTTCCTTGTTTACAACCCTTTTTCAGCCTCTTTCAACATAAAAGTCTTAAATAACTGATAAACTGTTAAATAAATACTGTTAAATACTAACTCATAAAAACAGTCTCTTGTCACCACTTAAAGGTGGAATAATGTAACTAAACTCACCATCACGAACACACACACCGTTTCCCAATACTAAATACTATTATTAAATACTACTATTATTTATATAAAATATTATTTATTGAATAATACTATTTAATAAACAACAACAACAACAACAGCCATCATAAAAGTTGCTGGGCAATTCAGTAAAAAGTACAAAGGCAGCGCTCCGATATACAGCATTAAAGTTATATAAAAGTATAAAGTTATGAGACTTTGCCCTCAGCCAAAACTATTTATTCTGGAACAAATAATAGATTAATGAGACCAAAGATTAACTGTTAGAGTTACCCAAAGCAAATTATAACTCATATTTAACCAATATACAGTAGAGACATCAGAACCAGCAGCAAATTCCAGAAGAACTGGCCGAGGTAAGGCTGCTCTCGGTGGGTTCATGAGCATTTTAATATGAGCTCAAAAATGTATCATCAAATTCTTCCTAATTATCTCTCACTGTGCAGTATGTCAACGACTGTTTCATTTATGTCTTTATTTCTCTAAAGAAATGTAACCAGTAACCTCTAAGGCATAAAACTTTCATCCGGGCAGCTGCTCTGCTTTTGGTAGCGATACAAACACAAGCAGAAGACATCTAACAGTGAACAACATAAAACATGTATAAGAGTAAGAAGTGTGTCTAGAAAGGCAGAATAAGGCAGGTGGTCTGTAATCTCCTGTGCTTGTGAATATGAATGAGATGTGTGTGTTGGCTCAGTAAACACATATTTGAACAGAATCCTGATGACTTGTGTTAGATCCCAGTGACAGACGCGTCTCCCTGCTGAGTCACGGGGCACAGCAGAGTTTAAATGAGCATATTGCTGTGTGTCTGGACTTCAGGGGGATTTTCTCCTCTCAACTGAGGAGGACAGGTGCTTCCTGTAGAACAGCTGTTCACAAAGACAGTTAATTTCCTTTTTCTCCAATTTTCCAAATACTCTATAGACTAGAGACATGTCATGATGGCCAAAGAGTTTATTTAGTCTTTTTTTCTTTTTCTAATATACTTATATAATTTAATAAATAAATAAAAATAGTTCACTCAACCATTTAAAAGTTTGGGGTCCGTAAGATATGTGTGTTTTAAAAAAAAATTAAATGAATATTTTTATTCAGCAAGAATGCATTAAATTGATCGAAAATGACATAATGTCATAATGTTATATGTAACAAAAAAAAATCTGTTTTAAATAAATGCTGTTCTTTTGAACTTTCTATTCATCAAATAATCCTGAAAAATGTCAAATATTCATAAAATAAAAAATAACTGTTTTCATCATTTTAATATATTTGAAAATAGAAAAGTTATTTTAAACTGTAATAAAATTTCACAATGTCGCTGTTTTTACTGTATTTTTGTTCAAATAAATGCAGCCTTGGTGAGCATAAGATACTTTTTTCAAACATTAAAAATCATACTGACCCCAAACTTTTAAATGGTATTGTATAATCAATGTTACTATTATATTTAATATTTTCAGCAGTGGCGGTGTATGTTACTTAGTCTCCGTCTAGCAGGTTTTTTTTAAAACAAGAATATACCTTATGAAATCGCCTCATAGAAAATGTGTCAAATTAGGTAAAATTGTCTAATTACATGGGATTTAAACCGATTAGTCGATTAGCTGTTTAGATGATTTTGAAAATATGTCGTTTTGCAAAGAAGAGCAAGAACAAGCAGTGATGGTGAGATGAGGAGGGAAGAGGATCTCCAAATGTCGCAAGCACTCACAGTGTCACGTCAGCACCATACAACACAGAGGACAAAGGTTCTGACTTTTTCCAAATGTTGGCAACAAACTTTGTTAAAAGTGTCAGGAGCGGCTGTGTGTTTGGCTTACTTGAAGAGCTCTTGTCTGGAGATGGCTCTGTTGGTGAGAGGGTCGATGGCATACACCTGGAGGTCTGATTTGGTGTAGTCCTCAAGTTCATAACCTTCTCCGTGTCGCCGAGGACCGATCGATTCCACTATCACTTTAGCACCAGGGATCTGATCTTGCACATAGCGCTCCAAAATACTGACAAAACAAAAGCATAGCAAATAAAATTCCTTAATCTACCTAAAACATTTCCACTTACTTAATTTCTAATACTTCTTCCAAACACTGAAAATGATCTATTTTTGCTAAACTTGAAGGGTGAATCTCACAAAACATCCCAAAATGAAAAGAAAAAAAGTAATCTTTTCCTTATTTAAGATGCATGCATTTCACATTATCTTAACTGATTATTTTACATTAATGAACATGAGAATTATTCTGTCAGATTTTATAAATAAAATCAGCTTTAAGACAATATTTAATATTTTAATACAATAATTAATAAATGCTAAAATATTTAAATAATGATACTTTTTGTATTAGGGTGATAGGGTGATTTTGAAATATAACAGTGAGAGATTCTTCCTATAACTCATGCGTAAAGCATGCAGAACAGGTACTATACTGAATAAATTACATGTTACTGTCTTCAGTTTGCAATATGTATACCTGACTAGTATTAAAAAAAGCAATCATTTTGTCTTTTATTATGATTATTCTGCAATCTACTGAGCAAAGTGGTTCTATTTTGCTTATTGGAGTTTGCCATTTGAGCTCAATTCTGTGTTTTAACAACTGAGATGGCCTTTTAAATCAAAGCAAGTGGGAAAACAAAGGCTGCCGACAGTGCAGGAAATGCCACTCAAGGAAAGCAGCAGTGCAGAGAAACACACCGAGGGAGGAATTCTCACCTAATCAGCTGCTCTTTGTTCTCCTCCACCACAGTGGGTGGCACATTAGAAACCACAACTTGCATGTCCAAGGCATTGACAACAGACACCTACAACCCACACAGAATACAAAAGAGACAGAGGATTTGATTCATGTGGTCTATAGTTTATATGCACAGGTGATACAGGGCAGCCTGACAGAGCTAAAATAATCAGATCATGATATTCTCCAGCATGATGATGATATATTTTTTTCTGAAATTTCTTAAAAGAGTGATTTTTTTTAAGCAGAGGAATGCTCATTACAAGCAAACATTTACTGTTTCCAGGCAGATTCATAAAGATTTTTTAAAAATTTAAACCTGAAAAACTTTGCAATATTTTGGAAAATGTTATGGCATAAACTCATTACATTGACTATGTGAGCTTTGTACAGACAGTCAGGTGGTCTTGCTTCCATTGAAGTACAAGATGATCATCTGGTTTTAAATAAACTTGTTTTAACAGCCCAAATATGAAGACATTGCCAAATTTATATGAATTTTTCAACACTCATTTTCACTGAAATCATGTTCATAATATACACTACTATTCAAGAGCTTGTGGTCAGTAATTTCTTTTAAAAATAAATTATTAATTTTATTAAGCGAGGATGTGTTAAGGACAGCAAAGACTACTGCATTTATAATGGTAACATTTCTATAATCAGAGGAATGCTCATTACAAGCAAACATTTACTGTTTCCAGGCAGATTCATAAAGATTTTTAAAAAATTTAAACCTGAAAAACTTTGCAATATTTTGGAAAATGTTATGGCATAAACTCATTACATTGACTATGTGAGCTTTGTACAGACAGTCAGGTGGTATTGCTTCCATTGAAGTACAAGATGATCATCTGGTTTTAAATAAACTTGTTTTAACAGCCCAAATATGAAGACATTGCCAAATTTATATGAATTTTTCAACACTCATTTTCACTGAAATCATGTTCATAATATACACTACTATTCAAGAGCTTGTGGTCAGTAATTTCTTTTAAAAATAAATTATTAATTTTATTAAGCGAGGATGTGTTAAGGACAGCAAAGACTACTGCATGTATAATGGTAACATTTCTATTTCAAATAAATGCTGCTCTTTTGAACTTTTTGTCTTTCTTTCAATCAAAGAATACTGAAAAAAAGTATCCTGGTTTACACAAAAATATATTAAGCAGCACAACTGTTTTCCTCTATGATAATAATAATAATTTTTTTCTTGAGCACAAAATCAGCATAATATTTATAATTTAGACACTTGAGACAAGAGTGATGATGCTGAAAGTTCAGCTTTTCCATCACAGAAATGCATTACATTTTAAAATACATTGAAATAGAAAACAGATATTTTAACTTGTAATTGTATTTCATAATATTACAGTATTTACTGCATTTTTGATCAAATAAATACAGCGATGTTGAGCATAAGAGACTACTTTGAAAAACATTAAAAAAAAACTTACTGACCACAGACTTTTCAATGGTAGTGTAATTCGCAATGAAAATGTATTACATTAGAATCATTTTCACACTTTGTGAGTTAGACCCCACTGTATACCACCCAGCTCAAGTGCTATTTGCGCTTGTCATGGTTTTTAATTCTGTTGGTCAATAAGGGTGTAGCATCCCGATCCCGATTCCTGCTAGTGGAAATTGAAAATGACACAAACATTAATGACATGATGTTTAAAACCCTGATGCACACATCAATTCCAAAATCCCTCTTATTTTATTTGGCGTTCATTAGCCAAGAGATTTCTGGGAATTGCACAAGTCACTGGCTGCAACACTTCAGGAGATACAGCAGCATAAATAATTCAGCTGACACAAAATTTATGACAGAGTTTATTTATATATTCATTACTGCATTAAGTAGTGCACAAATACCATATGCACTCCTGCACGCAAACATTTATTCAAACATAATCTATTTACCAAATCGACACTCTAGAGAGACATTTTCCCTTAATAACAGTGCTGATTGTTGTTATGCAATTTAGACTCTTTTTAAATTATTCAGTCAGTGATCTGACTTGAACCTCAAACATTAATTTTGCATAACCTGAGGGATGAGAGAAAATGTAGTTTCTCAAAGTGTCTTGTTTTGAATTGTGCTCGAATCATCATTTTGCATGAGGTGCATGAACAAACATACAGGTCAAAGGTCACGTGCACTCACCACCACATCAGCCCTGCTGCTCAATCCCTGCCCGTAGTTGTCTGTGGCGATGACCTGAAACTTGAAGTAAGACCGGCGCATGTTTCGGAACATGATGGCACTCTTGATGACGCCGGTGTACGGCTCAATGACGAAACTGTCCTGCCCCTCGGGCGTGGGAGGGATGATCAGTCTGTAGGCCATCTTACTGTAGTTCCCCGTGTCGACATCTGTAGCCTGATACACATTAAGTTACATTCAGAAACGTCAGTGGAAACAAATATGACTTTGAGAAATTCCCATTTTCTGGCTATTAGGTCTGTCAATTACAATTTTTAATCTAACTAATTACATGATGTCAAATTAACTGCAAATGAATCGCACATTAATTTTGGCTGAATAATTATCTCCCATAGGATCATTTATAGTCATTATTGTGTTAGATGAGAAAAGCATTGAAGAGACATTGCAAAATGTAGCTTTAGAATTTGCATTAAAAAAATAACATATGAATGTTTATTAAAGGTATTAATGTTTTTTTTATTTTATTAAAAAAATAATATATATAAAAAATATGAAATTATGACATGATACAAGATATTATGAAACTAAAACTGGAGGCAAGTTACAAGTCACTCAGTCATTCATTTAACTGATTTATTCAAACAGCTTTGTTTGTAACTATTTTCATTTGCGAAACTGAACAAAACGGAGAGTATTGACAATATTGTGTTTAAAATTGAACATTATTAACTTCTTGTTTATTGACCTACTTGCATAAAATCAATATATGTCAATAAACGTACAGGTCTGGGCTGCACCTGGTAAGATAAATGCATTAATAACGTTAACACAATTTTTTTTCCATAATCAATCACACTAAAGTAATGCATTAAATCAACAGCACTACTAGTTATATAAAAGAACAAGGAACTAGAATACTTTAAAGGCTTAAATAAAAAATAAAATTTTGGCCAAACTATCCCTTCAAAAGCCTTGCTGGAAGAAAGCTCTGCAGCATCCACTTCAGCAATGACCTAGAAATGTAATAATCCCCATATATCATCAGATTGTATGCCTTACTGCTTTTTATAGATGTTAAAAGTCTCAATTTATGAGAAAACTGTAACCTTGCGGTAGCCTAACACACATATCCCGGTGGGTATTTTACAGGTGTCCGTCACTTGTCTTCCACATTGTCAGAATGGAGAGAGAAGCTGTCTAAGTACAGTTACTAAGATGTGGGGGGAAGCGATCAGATTTGAACAGCGAGAGAGATTGTACTCTAGTGTTGACAGGTGTGTCAAGATGTGAACAGCAAGTTCTTCACTGCAAAAATGAAATATAATGTACTGCAGACACAAACACCAGCAGAACATTTCAAACCCCATGAATTAATCACCACTGTTCCAATGTATTCTGCTGGTATTGTGCTTAACAACACTACCACTCTAAATGTGAAAACACAAAAAATCATATTTAATATTAAGATTCTGCAGTTGATGCAATGTCAAATTAAGTGGGAAGTTAAAACTAATTTGGAAAATATATAGATTTAAACTTTGGGAACAGGAGGATTTTTTTGTAAAAAATATGTTAGTTATAAAGGACTATTTACTAAAATAAACGCTAAAATAATTACATTCAAATAAATGCTGTTCTTTTATACTTCCTATTCATCTAAGAATCCTGTAAAAAGCTTCACAGTTTAGCTTAGTTTTAGCTTTGCTAAACTACATTTTAAAATATATTAACACAGAAAATAAATTAAATATTATTAAACTGTAATAATATTTTACAATATTGTTACTGTTTTACTTGAATTTTAATCAAATAAATGCAGACTTGGTAAGCATAAGATTTTATTTAAAAACATTTCAATGAATTTCAAAATAATTCTCTATCATTATTCATCCATAAGTCAGATTTCCCTGTGGAACAAAGAAAGAACATTTCTAAAAAAAAATATGGATGCCTCCATCCTGCATATCTAAACTGTTGTACAAAAAAAAAAAAAAAAAATTTTTATATATACATATATATATACAGTATCTCACAAAAGTGAGTACACCCCTCACTTTTCAGCAACCATTTTAGTATATCTTCTTAAGGGACAATACTATAGAAATGAAACTTGGATATATTTTAGAGTAGTCAATGTACTGCTTGTATAGCAGTACAGATGTACTGTCCTCTAAAAATAACTCAGCATACAGCCATTGTTGTCAAAATAGCTGGCAACAAAAGTGAGTACACCCTAAGTGATAACAGCTGTATGTCGTTTAACCATGCAAAGTCACATGTCCTATTCATCATGATCATGTTTTCGTCTGCTTGACAGGACCATACAAATTTGTGTATCTTGTATTGGAGCAGTTCAAATTTGGTGCTTTGAGTACAATTCTCTCATACTGACCACTGGATGTTTAACATGGCACCTCATGGCAAAGAACTCTCTGAGGATTTGAGAATTAGAATTGTTGCTCTCCACAAAGATGGCCTAGGCTATAAGAAGATCTGTAACCCCCTTAAACTGAGTTGCAGTACAGTGGCCAGGGTCATACAGAGGTTTTCTAAGACGAGTTTCACTCGGAAGAGGCCTCGCAAGGGTCGATCAAAGACGTCGAGTCCTCAAACCATATGCCGCACACTGCAACAAGTCGGTTTGCATGGCCATCGTCCCAGAAGGAAGTCTCTTCTAAAGCTGGCTCACAAGAAAGCCCGTAAACAGTTTGCTGAAGACAACCTGTCCAAGAGCATGAATTACTGGAACCATGTCCTGTGGTCTGATGAGACTAAGATAAACTTGTTTGGCTCAGATGGTGTCCAGCATGTGTGACGATGCGCTGGTGAGGAGTACCAAGGAAATTGTGTCTTGCCTACAGTCAAGCATGGTGGTGGTAGCATCATGGTCTGGGGCTGCATGAGTGCTGCTGGTACTGGGGAGCTGTGGTTCATTGAGGGAAACATGGATTCCAGCATGTACCGTGACATTCTGAAGCAGAACATGATGCCCTCCCTTCAGAAACTGAGCCGAACTGCGGTTTTCCAACATGATAACGACCCCAAACACACCGCCAAGATGACAACTGCCTTGCTGAGAAAGCTGAAGGTGAAGGTGAGTGGCCAAGTATGTCTCCAGACCTGAACCCTATTAAGCACCTGTGGGGCATCCTCAACCGGAAGCAGCTCTGGTGAATTCCATGCCCAGGAGGATTAAGGCAGTGCTAGATAACAATGGTGCTCACACAAAATATTGACACTTTGGACACTTTTTTGACATATTCACTTAGGATGTACTCACTTTTTTGCCAGTTATTTAGACACCAATGACTGTATGTTGAGTTATTTTTAGAGGACAGTAAATCTGTACTGCTATACAAACTGCACATTGACTAATCTAAAGTAAATCCAATTTTCATTTCTATAGTATTGTCCCTTGACAACATATAATTACCCACTGTATATATATATATGAACTACTTTATAGTGTTTTTATCCTCTTTTGGTCACTAAGAACTGCCATTTCAAAACATGTGAACAGCCTTCAGAATTTCTCTTTTTGTGCTCTGCAGAATGGCTGACATTAGCATAAGTAAAAAAAAATAAAGACAAAATATTTGTTTTGTCAGTGGCAAGTGCCCACCTGTCTGCCTTCAACAAATCAGTTAGGACTACTGGGTGAGCGTTATGTCACCTAAGTAATATTCATGAGTCTAGCCTAAGGTTTATAATGTGCCCTCATGACATTCCAGATTGTTCCTACACTGCTGCCTAGGAGTAAATAACACATAACATACTCACCACAACTTTCAGTACTGTGGTGAAGGTCTTAGTGTCTTCAGTCACTCCTCCGATGTAAAGAGACCTTGTGAAGACCGGAGGATGATCATTCTCATCCTGCACATCAATAAACACCTTTGCCGTGTTCGCTGGTTATATTTAAACACACACAGAAGAAACAGACCTTAGTTTATGGAAATATAAGCTTGATTTGTCACAGTTAGAATAAAAATCCTGTGTTAATGTAAACACACACAGCTGCTGCAACCCTCTCCACACTGTGGTAGAAGTGAAAAATATGCTCTGTCAGAAAACATTTGTCTTCTGCTGCACTAAACGACAATATATAAAGTCATCTGGTGTAGATCTAAGCACACGCAGGGGAAAGCACAAATGAAGAGCTGTATATCATAGCTCAGTAAGAGAGAAAAGAAAGAAATGAAGAAAAGAAAAACAGGTGGGGAAGCGAGAGAGAGAAGATGTGCCAGTCCTGTTACGTACGACAAAATTTACATCAAAGTTAAAGCAAGACACATGGCAGGACAAATGCACACACACACACACTCTCGCTCTCTCTTATGTTTGTGATTTGTAGTTTTCCTATCAAAGGCTTGTGATGTGCTCGATTAACTTTAAATTTAACATGAAATGGAGTTTGCAACCCATTTTATCTAGGTAATGTGGCTTATTTCTGAGTGAATATTTAATGAGAAACACATTGAACAGCAACAAAAAAACGTAGGACAGGACTTTTTTCATCCATTGGGATTTGATTGAATCTTGAAAAATGGGCCTTACTGTGAGTTTGCAATTGGTTGTGGAAGACTCCTGTTAATCTCCTGAAACACCCACATTTTTAGGAGGCCTCTTTACTGGCACAACATATCCCAATGGACATTATACTTTTACATTTGCAGGACCAGAAAACATTTCCCACATTTTCAATACCAGTTTTGGGTAGAAATATGCAGAATGGACAATGGCTAAATGTGTTAAAGGGTATGTCTGCAAATGTTCAACCAGCTTTGTATTTGAACAGCTTTGTATGAACAATGTGCATTATTTTTCAGAGGTGGAGCAAGTTATTAGATTTTGATGGAACATTCTTTTGAGCATGCATTGACAAATCATTCACAGTAAGACCACAAATGTGTGTAAAATATATACACATATATTTTGAACACATATATTTAGCATAGAGCCAATGCTGATTTTATGTTCTTATGCACAAAAACCCACTCATCTAAAATGAATGCAATTCATTAACATTGCTTTGTAATTCATCATGTGTGTATTTCTGTGTCCATCGAGCTGTATTCTGCTCTCATCCTTCAGCACACATCTATGCAGTTTTAATGAAGTACACAGACTGCTGGAGGAAGATCAGACCTCTCGCAGGAAGAGGGAGATGTGCTCTGCTCTGCCTGTCCTGTCTATCTTTCAACCTCAATAAAACGCATGAGCTCTACACGTATGACCTCTCCAATAACTCCTGCTCTAACTGAGATTCAGCACATACATTAAAGCACCAGAGAGGTGGTGATCTACAGTGACATTTCCATAATTAAAGGGTATGGGTTATCCTATTGCTCTTGTTATCATTTTAGAAAAACTAAATTTTTTTTGTTGGTTTAATAAAATGGTGGCAAAAGTAATAAATAAAATAAATAATTGAATAATAATAAAACATTAACCAGTTACAACAATAAACACATATTTTGCCAAATAACAATTATGTATATTTTATGTATTTTTAGTAAGCCTATTATGCCAAGTGAACTCACGTTTTCCAAAATAATTAATCACTTAAAAACATTACTAACACTACTATTTTTAATAATCACTTTCTCATTACTAAAATCATTACCAATACTTTGATTCAGAATATTTAGAAATTACTGCAATGCAATAATTTTAATTAATAGAGCATAAATTAAACGTGGTACACATTTTAAAATATTTTTAAATAACAAAAATGTTCATAATTTATCATGTTTTTGCACATTACAGTAATTGGATTATATGCATAACATGCATATGGGGGGAAATGTGCTTAATTGTTATAAAAATGTCTCAATAAAAATAAATAAATTATATATATATATACAGTGGGTACGGAAAGTATTCAGACCCCCTTAAATTTTTCACTCTTTCTTTCATATATTCATATATTTCATTTGAAATGTGTGGTCATATATATCTGTATATAGATCAGTGGAATGTGTATTGTACATGTAACTTATTTGACTCTTAATCTGTAAGATTCCCAAATAAAATCCTTGGAAAAGATGAGGTGTGCTTTAGTGTTATTCTTACTTTTGGAGGGAACACGCAGGTTGGCGAGGATGATGGCGAGAGAATCGGCCTGCACGCGGAGCACATAACTGGTCACACTCTCATAGTCCAGAAGTTTATTTGTGTAGATGATCCCAGTGCGGTTATTGACTGTGAACTCACCTGCAAACACAAACTGATCAGAGAACAGTTCACAGCACCTCCAACACCAACGATGGGTCACTAGAAATCCACGGTTGCATCTTATTCACAAATCACCTGCAACTCAACCAGGAAAACAATGCGCTGGTTGGATCCAGTTGATTTAATGAATTCCCTCCAGAGTAAAAACTCACCTCCTTCATTTCCACTCACTATGGAGTAAAAGACAGTGGTGTTGACAGCTGTGGCCAGAATAATTCCCACAGGCGTCCCGACAGGAGCGTTCTCACTCACCAGACTAAACCTGCAGATATAAACCAGAGCAAATGACAAACTTCATTCAGCATTAAACAACACACAGCCGAGTGCAGTGGAGAACGCTCAGTTCCAGCGCAGATACTGTGACATAAATGTCAGTTTCCTGTTGAATACTGTATAAACAATAGAGAAGTTCAATAGGCCCTCCACCTCCACAAAAGACCTTTGCTTTAAGAGTTGAAAAGAGTTTAACTACTGTATTCAAAAGCAGCACACATAAATCAAGGGTCTAAAGAAAAATCTATTTTTAAAGCTTTTGTCTACAACACGAGCTGACCTCTGAGGCCAGCGATTCTCAACTGAAGGGTCAGAGGTCTGTTCTAATGAAAACAATGCTTAATGCAAATAATACAATGTTAAAAACTAGTTTGGTTAGAAAACTATCTACAACTTTTAAACGGGAAGAAAAAACACTTTCTATGTCTTTTGTTGTTGATGTCAAAGGCTGGAAATAAATCTGTCAAATTGATGCACATTCATGTTTCATTAGATAGTTAATTACTGATGATAATAATGCTGCCATGGACAGGATGCATGACATCCTTAAAAAGCATGAACAAAACAACATAAATTAAAGGAAAATATGATCCCAACTATGGGTTCCTATGCAATATTGTGAATTTGTTTTGTGTGGTAAATTATTTCCTGTTAAGAGCATGAAAGCATCAAAATTCAAGAGACATTTACCAAACAAACACTCAAACCATACACATTACTGTTCAAATGTCTCTTATTAGGCAAGGATGCATTAAAAGTGACAAATGCTGTTCTTTCTGACTTTCTGTTCACCTAAGAATCCTAAAAAATATTCAGCAGCACAATTTTTTCAACATTGATAATAAGAAATGTTTTTAAGCAGCAAATCAACACATTGGAATGATTTCTTTTAAGTGACGTGACATGTGACCCATACTCGGAATTAGTGCTCTGCATTTAACCCATCCAAAGAGCACACAGCAGTGAACACACACACACGCAGTGAACACACACCGTGAACAAACACCCGGAGCAGTGGGCAGCCATTTTTGCTGCAGCGCCCAGGAGCAGTTGGGGGTTTGGTGCCTTGCCCTATTGAAGGTGGAAGAGAGTGATGTACATTCACTCCCCCCACCTACAATCCCTGCCGGTTCGAGACTCGAACCCGCAACCTTTGGGTTACGAGTCCGACTCTCTAACCATTAGCCCCTTTCTGAAGGATCATGTGACACTGAAGACTGGAGAAATTATGCTGAAATTGAAACTCTGCCACCACATAAATAAATAAAAAATTTGTATGTATTCAAAGAGAAAACAGTTATTTTAAATTGTAATAATATTTCACAATATTAGTTTTTACTGTATTTTTGATCAAATAAATGCAGCCTTGGTGAGCAGTGTTGTGGAAAGCTACTTTTAAAAGTAATGCATTACAATATTGTGTTACCCTTTATGGAAATTAATGCATTGCGTTACTTTTACGTTATTTTTTTTAGTCACCTGGGCTGGGCTTGCTTATTAGACAAAAACCCAAAGGTTATACTTTTTCAGTTGGTCACTCCGAGTCACGTCGGTGACCGACGAATTGGGATCTCGCTTAGAGAGACCAATCCACTTTGAGTGTAAACTAAACGAGCCAATGCACATTGGCATGCGATGATTGCATCCAGCTGCCGCTGATCACAGTGTGAGCATAAAAAGGCAGTCAGTGCAACGCATACCAGCTTTTCACTTCGGAGCTGAGCGACAACATCATTCTGCTCCTACCAAACTGCTTCGTGTGTGAAGAGTCTAGAGCGCTCTCTGGAGCTTTTTGTGATGGCGGACGGCGCTTCAATGGTGGTCGTTCCTGTGCCGAGTGGGTTGCGCACTTCAGGCTGCACTACCCCCTGTCGTGCTGTGAGGGACGCCGACAAAGTTTGTTTCCTTAATCCCCCTGTGTCCCAGACCGGCCTCTTCGGCGACGCGGTCGAGAGCTTGGCCCAGCAAATGTTGACGCAGAAACGCATCTTCGGGTGCATCCATCCCCGAGATTGGTTTGCAGCGATTGACCTGAAGGATGAGTACTTTCATGTGTCGATCCTTCCGCGCCCCAGACCATTTCTGCGGTTCGCGTTCGAAGGGTGAGCATATCAATACGAAGTCCTGCCGTCCAGGCTGTCCATGTCGCCCCGTGTCTTCACGTAAGTTGTGGAGGCAGCCCTTGTTCCCCTGAGAGAACAGGGCATTCACATTCCCAACTACCTCAACGACTGGCTCATACTAGCTCAGTCTCAGCATCAGCTGTGTGCACAAAGGGAATTGGTGCTTTCGCAGCTCAGCCGGTTGGGCCGTCAGGTCAACTGGGTAAAGAGCAAACTCTCCCCGACGCAGAGGATCTCTTTTCTCGGTATGGAGTTGGGTTCGGTCGAACAGACAGCACGCCTCACAGAGGAACGTGTGCGGTCGGTGCTGACTTGCTTGAATTCATTCAAGGGCAGGACAGCGGTCCCACTGAAACTATTT